TTTCCACAATAGTCACCACTTTGTTACTGTACTCCAACTCCGGAGTCAATCCATTAATATATTTAATTTTCTCTCGCAAATTACGCCGACTTATGATCAATGTCGTTTACAGACTATTTGGTAAATTGAAAGTCAATTATCTGAGTGAACACAAAGAGCATCATTATAACCAGGCACAGATCTCGAATAATACATTCTCGCAGGTATTGCTACCTAACTTTCATAGGGATGAATACAACTGTCCACATAATTGTCATATAATTGAGTGTAAAAGTGCTATCGTATCAATAGCATCAAGACATAGTGACAAGACATCAATTGTATAGATTGTACGTTTTTAACCTGATCATGCCTGTTTTGTCTAATAGTTTTGTTGCTCAATACCTTTCTCTATATTTTGAATTTAAAGCTAAGAGTAAAATGTGATTTTAGATCATATTCATGTAATTCTATTGGAATTAATAGTAAATAGCTTAAATAAAATATTTATATTTATGTAAATGTTAAAATAGCTTAAATAAAATATTTATATTTATGTAAATGTTAAATCAGAATATAATATATATTAATATATATTCAATATATCACTGTACAATTTTCAATATCATCGTGAAGTTCATATTCCCATAAACTTAAATATTGCCGGATAGAAGATTGATTATGAGTATAGATAATAACAATATATGCTACTTAAGTACAACTTTCTAATGTTATTATCTATACTCATAATCAATCTTCTATCCGGCAATATTTAAGTTTATGGGAATATGAACTTCACGATGATATTGAAAATTGTACAGTGATATTATAAAAATTAATGATAAAAATAATTTGATACAGAGGTATACCATACGTCAAGCTCAATATATTTTATTAATGTGTGATTATCATAATATTTCCTATATTAATTAATTGATGTAATTTAATCATTAAAATTCAAAATTTATGAACGTTATATACTTAACTAGTTTTGTTGGACACTTGTTTTATTTAGACTAATACATTTTAATTATAATAAATATCACCTTCAGTTTTTAAAATTTTTTATAAATATAACACATTTCAAATAAATTACCAAATATATTGTAAAGTACTGTATAGTTTTTGTTTTGTTATAAAATTCCCTGTATTTTTAATAAATAATGATAGAGTCAACAGAATATGTAAATAAAAATTTTAAATGTTAATATTATAATATAATAATAAAATATATCACAAATTATATGGTTATTCCGCTGAATGTTTTAGTGATTTAAGTACCGTATATAAAATTAATTGTTATTTAAATTCCTTATAATGTTATATCAATTTTATTTATATTCTATAGATTCTTTATTTTCTGGTTAATTTATTATATTTTACAAAGTACAAATATATATTTATTTATAAAAAGTATATAAAAGTATATCTATTTAATAATTTATAGGACGTATTCAAATATTTACATTAATGTTTGTTATTGTAAAACGGACGTGCATTCAAATTGTAAAAGTTTAAAATAATTCAATTTTAAATAAAATATATTAGTACACAACTCACATGATTTTAATACCATTTTTATATGAATACATAGATAGAATATAATCAATACAGTATTATTTCGAGAGATTTATCATTTATATTATATTAAAGTGGTTATAAATAAATGTCCTTTTAACTTTACTGTAATTTAAAGATTAATCTAGACTTTTTATTATTATATATTAATGAAATAAAATAATATTTTATTATTTTATTATAAATCTTGAAATCTTATAATCTTTCTTACAAAACATCTTAATAATTAATGTAATAATTATAAAAAACATTATTTTTATTTGTCTAGACAGTGCTTAAAAATAATTAATAATGTAATACTATGACTAATATTGACAAAGGCTTACATTATGTAAGTGTTGGGACAGGTAGTCCACAGACATACAACTGTTATGTGATGAGCACTGTTATGTGACACACAAAACCAGTTTGTATAGAGTGATATGCCATAGTATGGTTTATATAATGTAATACTGACTTTACTAAATAAAAATCATTAATTTGCGCATATTAAATCTGTGTAACTTTATTAAACAAGCTAAATTAAGTAAACCTACTGGTGCTGTAATTATTACCAAGATCAGCGCCAAAGCTTACAATATTTAATTAAACAATTGAAATATAAATATTTATTGTATATGATAAAATTTATAATTTACAAATTATAAATAATATTAGTTTAATATTTTAATTAATTGTAATTAACTAGGCAACTTATAATTTTAATTTAAATAATTGACAAATTTAATCCTAATACCGTAATATTATTTCATAATTAGGATTTAATTTTCTAAGATCAAAAAAGTGTTACAGTACTTTTATTTGTCGATTTGCAATAAATTAAATCATACAATACAGTATTTATATATTTAATAGTCCAAACCATTTTTACCCAAACTCTCAACAAGTTATTATGAAAGCTTAAATTATTCACAATATTAATTATATAAAATGTGTGAATAAAATTATTGTGATTTGTTTGACCATATAATATATGTTTAATTGCAACACATTGGGAAAAGGCATATTTTAATTAACTTTAAAAATTCTTTAAAGAATGCATAATCATAAACAAAACAAACAAAACGCCCTAAAAATGCTAAATTTATTTCATTAAAATGGTATTGAGTTTGAAAAGTAATTAAAATGTTATTTTATCCTATCATTGAATAGTTATTAACTGATACGTGAGGTCATCATTCAAATGGTATGAGTGCTTAATACAAATAACAAACTTTTTAAAATTATAACAATAACAATAATATGATATATTATATTAAACTACTGTATATTTTTTATCAGTCAATTTCTGTTGAGTTACTAACTGACAACACATATTGATAAAGCTCATTTAGCAAATGTGAAATATGAATGCCCTGTTATGATCGCACTCATACCTCCCATTATGTCTCCTACCTATTCAAGATAACTAGTTGTTGATCCTTTAATTATCAAACTATTCGTATGACATTAGCCTCGAAAATCAGATCATATTTTTAAACAATAGTTCACAAGTATATCAGTGGCTTAAAACTTGATAAATAATTTTAGTCATTAGTTTTTGAACAGAACATGAAAATATTGGAAATATTCCTAATTGTGACCAATAATAGTCGCTATAAACTAATGCATGACATAATACTTACTGATATGACTTTCCTATGTATTGGACGTTTTAAACCACTAACCCCTCATTTAGTCTCATACCTGTTTAGTAGTCAGTAGTCCTCTAACATTAAAATCTATCACATATTGTATGAAAAGATAGTTTAACTATAACTAGTCTTTTAATAATTAAAACTTATATTGTATTCAATTAATATCTGCAGTCTATTTGAATCAATAATGTCTATTAAACACGTGTTGAGCGCAGTTATCATTGCCGGCATATGGTGCCAAACACATGGAGCCACAACGACGGCACCGGTAGCCGACAAGTATGACGGCTGTACTATTGGTAAGACCGCGACCTACCAGTGCGTGGGTCTGCCAGCGGGATGTATATCCAAAAAGACATGTGTGATCGTAGCAAAAGCACAGCCGCGCACAGCACCGACAGCCGGCGCCCAATTTGAGGTCTACTGGACCCGAGCCAAAGACTCGCCCGACTCGTGGGTAGGGGTGGGTCTGTCCGACGATAGGAAAATGGGCGACGACTCGGTCACGGAGTTTATCATTCAAAAGGACGGCACAGTTAAGCCTGGACAGGGACTCACTTTCTGTAATCCCGATCCCGTCACCACTACTCTCAAGCCTCCCAGTCATAGCAATATGGTTTGTGGGGTCAAGGATGTGGACAGTAAAGGCATAACCGTGGCGTCCAGTCTATACCAGGACGGAGTGCTTACTGGAAAGTGGGGCCGGGATGAGGACATCAAGTACGACGCCTTGGACTTCAATATTAAGGATAAATCCTATTATATACTGCTGGCGTACGGCCCCTTAGATGCTCAGGGTATGTATCAAGTTTCTAATCTAATGTAATAGTTTATAAAATAATCAAACTTAAAATAGACCATGATAAAAGTTCTAATTGTACCCTTGTTTTACATATAATATATTATTTTACAAATAAGTAAAAATAACTATTTTAATTGATATATCTATTGACTTGATTCTAGGTAAAATCACAAAACACCATGAGGTCATCATATCGGATACACCACTTTCGTTGGAAGCAAATCCAGGCACAATTACTGCGGCTCCCACTCCAGTGCCCACCACTGCCCCCTCGACAGCCCCCACTACTCCACATATAAGTACGACTACCCACTCGTCATGTGCGCCCACCTCTGTCAGCATACTATTAGCTATTTTTATAACAATTTTTATTGTCTTTAATAATTAAGAAATATGATAATAGGATGTCTCAATATTTTTATTATATACAGTGTTATTTATCAATATTTCTCATAATTTGATTTTAATATAATTTTTTGTACTAATCTATTGATTAATAATGTTTTTATTTTTTATTGCTTATTAAACTAATATATTTAAGATTGAGATGTCATTTAACGGAATTACTATTTGATTTTGTAAAACATTTCACATTCTTCATATTGTTTACCTTTTAATAAAAAATTTATTTTATTTTATAGTAATTAATTAGAATTATGAAACATATTTGCGAGTAGTATATTTAATATTTATAATTATTTTATCTTTTTAAGTCATGTTGTCTTAAAACACCATTTTTGTAGTTTAATTAATTAGTAAAACGGATAAATAGACAACAATATCATTACAGAAAATATGTTACAATATATGAAATACTTTCTATTAATCGGATTAGTTTTACACCTTATCTGTGAGCACAATGTCAATGGCGATGAGGACAGGGAAGACATAGATGCTTTTGATGAGGTGACGGATGTTCAGGTTAGATAGGACTCCCATGTGAGATTTTTAATCACAAATTCACACCTTTTATTGCATTTTGTTTTTATGTCTTATTTCGTAGAATAAATATTTTTGTCATTTTTAGCACTTTTCTAATTAATCTTCTTATCGTGTCTATTGTGTCTGTAATTTGATTTGATTTTCAAACAATAAGTTTGTTTTTCTTACGTTTACGTAACTTGTTAATAATAACAAATTGTTATTCGCCTTTACTAATGAATAACAATAATATTTGTATTATTTATAATAGATTAGATTATTTAGAAAACCAGTTTACATTACTGTACAATATTGTATTTGTATACATATAATGTGATGTTAATTTTAATTTCGTTTGTTTTAATCAATTGTTTCCATAAATATGTTAGTAAGCAAGAAACGAAAATTATTGAATTTGCAAAATAGGTAAAAGGTAAATTGATAGAGTATTATAAACTTATTTATAAATGATTAGGAACTCAATATAAAATATAATTTGTATCATATGATTTAATATATGAGAATAATATTTATATAAATATTTATTATATTACTTTAAACATATTTCAGGTAACACCACCAAAAACTAACGCAAATGCCAAACCCAAACCTAATGCACAGGGTAAACTAAAACGACAGAGACTACGTGGTAAAAAGTTAAGAAAACCTAAATTTGCACCTATGTTACAGCGGATACCTCGAGCGCGGGTGGACCTCCCAAACCGCAACTGCGACCCCAGGACTTGGAGTTCTTGGAGGGTCTGTACAAAGGGAAGGACAAGAAGTCACATCAGGAGATGTCGGATAAGATTTACAATTATCTAGATTTCCGATACGAAGTCCTGTCAACGTATCTCAAAAACACTCAACTCTTGAAAGCGTTCATAAAGAGCGCGCATAACGTGACCGAAGGTTTGCAACAAATCTATGATATCATGGAAAGGGAGGATTTATCGGACTTTTTAGCAAGGTGGTATAAGGTGAAGTACATTCCCCGCAAACACCTGTTTGATATAACCGCGTCTATCAATAAGCCGGATGCCATTACTGCTAAACCTAAGACAGTACCCGAGACAAGTGCCGGTGCTGCAGGTGATAGTGATGCTATAGACCTACCTGTCAATAGGGAGGGTAATGTTGAACATTACTCTAAAGAGCATTTACTTAAGGATCTGGTTGATGAACATCGAAAGGCACAAGGTGATGCTGGGGGTGGTGGTGCTGGTGATGCCCAAAAGTCCTAAATAATTATGTGAATGCATTTGATAGATTAATATTTGGATTAATAAATACATATTTTACTAATTTACTAATATAACATTTGTATTTAAACTTATTCTTAAATAGTGTTTAATAAATGATCATGAATGATTTATTTTGTTTGTTTATTAAATTATGTTTACAGATAATAAGTACAAAATAATGAAATTAATAAAATTATATTATAAATCCATTGCGAGGTTTTCACATGTATAATAGTGAACTCAATATTATTTACCAGTACTTAACCTATTTTGTAACATATTTGAAATGATTGAGTCGAAAATAAATTAGTATAAAATTAGTGAACACTATTACCCTTGACATCACTAGGAATGTAAATTGAATATTTTACAGCCACAAAATCAATATTAATTTTAAATATTATACTGAATATTAATTTCTTATCAAATATCTAGAGAATTTCTTATTTACTTAATTGCTAATTATATTATTTTTAATGAATCCTTATAATGTAAAGATATTCTATGGGCTATTTATATTTACTGTATTAAATACATATAATTATACACCTACTTAAGGGAAAGTTATGTCTAGACTTGAGATTTCTTAAGTACTGACATATAATTTGATAAACATTTCATAGAATTTCATAATTTTAATGAATCTACTACTAACTTAACTAGTCCAAATTAAACTTGAATATTCATGAAAAATATAATATGCAGTACAGTATAAACACATGACATTCATGAGCACCTGTAGCAATGTGAAAACTAGAATACGTACAGAATATTGAGATAAACATGTTTTTATAAAGTATTTTGATTAGGAATAGTGTCATAACTAGAAAAAACAAATTAAACCATAAAAGTATGTGCTTAAAGGTTAGAGCATTTTTGCCGTAAGAATTTACACACAAAGGAATTATTTAATTAAATATATTATTATTATTTTGCCATTTATTCCGAGAACTCATTTTTATTATTATAGTCCAGAAATTAATTTAATCAAAATTCCTATTCAATATTGTGTAAACACACAATACTGTATTATATTAATATTTTTTGGTAACTGGAATTCTAGTCGTGATAAATTGTGATAAGAGATTTCAAAATACTTTTCATATATAAATATAATAGTATTATGCATAATAAATTTGTTTGTTTTTGTGTAAGTGGACTTATATTACAAGTGAATTTGGTGCTAATAATCACAATTCTTGGTATTCAATGTGACACATTAAATAACACCATAGAAGGTATGAACAAAAAAGAGTTTGGTAATCTACTTTTAATAACTCACATTTGCTGCATTGTTAATATCTTTTTATTCTTGATTAATCTTTTATATACTCTATAAGACTTAATAGTCAAAGTCTTTTAATCATTATTATACTATTAATTTAATCTATGAATTCAAAGAATAATTAATTATTTTAAGGAATATTCGTTTAAAAATAATTCTAATATTAAATCAAATTACTTGTTTAATTGTTTACCAACATGTCAGTAATAATTTTAGTAAATCAATTATTTAAGAATTAAGGTCTGAATATTGTTAGATAAATAATAATCACAACTTAATGTACATTTTAATTCATTTAATATTTTTATAATTGAATTAACTTAAATTTGATTAGCCAATAAATATAATCATCTAAAAACATGTCGGTCGTGATAAATAATTCATAGCACGTAAAACATACAATACTTTTATAATACAATACATATTGAATATCATAGTAGAAAATGAAAAGATTTTTCATTTGATTTTCATACAAATAAAAAAATACATTATTTAAGTAATGCTCTGTATTTTGCCATTTATACAATTTTCACACTTATATAGACAATATAGAGGCAACTGAAAAGCCAGCACTGGATAAGGGGAACGGGCTCATATTTTCGGACATATCGCAGTATATCAAGCAAAATGCCACTCAACACGGCTATAACAACTCCATCACACAGTCGGGTAATCCGTTACTGGAATCGGACTTTCAGCTCCTGGATTGGCTGAACCCGGGCTCCACTCTATTGAACTCATTGAAGCCGTTGACCGGTTTGATCGCCAACCATAAGCCGGGCAAACCTGAAAAGCCTGAGAAACCTGAGAGACCTGAACCCCAGGAGCCGTTGGAAAAGCCGGAACACCCCGAAAGACCTGAGCGACCCCCTTATGACAACCCTTATATCTATCAGAATAACTATCAAAATAGTTATAATAATTATAACAATCGCCCAGGTAATCCTAATCATATTCAACAATCCAGTCATTACGATGGCATTTACCACGGACCTAATTCAAATTATCAAAACGCCCAGTCCCATCACCAGTCAGCTAGTTTGTACCCAAAATGGCCTGGTCTATTACGTAGATATAGATAATTATGTAAATGGGAATGAAAAATAAAATTTTGTAATTTTAATTGAAAAGTTAATAAAGTAAAAATAAAACACAAAACTAATTTATATAAATAATATATTGAAATTAGTAAGATTATTGATTGCATGTATAATCTACTAGTTTAGTAAACATGTGGGCATAATTTAATAAATATTTATCAAATGCATTTAATGTAATAAACTAGAGAAAATTTATATTTGCACAAATAATTAAGTCCATATTTTAATGATTGATTGAATTATTTGTTTATAAAAATTTCAAGTTTAGTCATTTAATATTCATTTATCTAGTTAATAGAATATTTTTATTTACTTTTTGTCGTGAATTAACTAATTAATGCTTAATTTAAAAAGTCAAAAATTATTAATTAATAATATAATATACTGTAAATATACTGTATATACAGGTATAGAAATATTTAATTAATTAATAATCTTAATATGTAAATAATTAGTGGCATTGAGTTATTACTAGAAAATATAACATATTTTTCTATGTTCAACAAAATGGACTCTTAATTAAAAATATATTAACATGTAATTGTGTGTTCTCTACTATAATTACAAAAATAATTTTGTCACAAAAATTGCATAAAATTATGAATAAATTGCATATTTTATGCCTCTTTTTGGCATTTCTGATGAAAGTACAGTTGAGTTTAGGGGTTGAGTTGCCGGTGGCCGAGGAGGACGGGTCGGATGAGGTATCGACAACGGAACGGGACGTCGACAAGATCTGGCAGGAGGTGTGGAGGGGCTCGGAGCCAATGAAGGGCCTCAAGAAGGACAGGTACGGCTTCACCCGACAGGTGAACGTCAAACGATTGCGGACTAAAGACATTCAGTTCCTGAACGACATCGCGAGGAAGAAGTACCGCAAAGACTACGTGGAGGTGGAGGAGAAGGTGTCGGACACCCTGAACACCACCTATCATGTGATCTACGATCCCATTCGCACCGCTCAGGAGACGGCACAGTATCTCATAGACCACTACAAGAAGGAGTATAAGAGGAATATGAAAATGGTTGAGCAAAAGGTCCTTAAATTGATTACACCATTGATTGAGTGGATTAAGTCGGCCGAGGAGTACGCGGCCGAAGTAAATGCTAATAAGACAGCTCACGAACAGATGAAGAATGATACCATTCACTTGATTCATAAGACCCTGAATAAAAATTTGGGCCCTAAGAAGGTGAAAGGAGCTAAAGGGGGTCAGGAGGTGGATGATGGATGATGTGGATACTAAGTTGTTTAACATGCGATGAATTGAATATTAAAAAGTACTATAAATATATTAATAACGGAATAAAATTTATTTTTTATGTTTTATATAATGTATAATGTTTATTAGAAATATTATATTTTATACTGATTTTAAATTTTAGTATTGTTTATGATGTTAAGTATTTTAAAACTTTAATAAAATCCATTACACAAGCAAATAAATCATTTTATAAAATGCTTATTTAGTTTTTTATCTAGTATAAGTATATATAAATTTATCTCAATATTTTGTATAAGCATAATATATTTAATATATCATATTTTGTAAATTTTTATTGTTTCTGTAGGTAAAGGAAATATATTTTAAAAATAACAAAACATTTATTACCGGTAATATTTATACATTACATAATATTAATAAAACAAAACTCTAAATAATTAAAATTCCAAACTAATTAACTCTCAATTATCTAATTTATATGCAATTGTTATATAATTACTGCATATAAAACAGCATTATTATTTAAAAATGCATTAAATAATTGAAAATAAAGAAATTTTTTAAACATTAAATAAAAAATTAAAATTTTCTAATAAATGTTGTTTTAATTAAACTAAAATATTATAAATAAAGAATTTTATATATTAAGATTTATTTAAAATAACTATATAATCAAGAAAATTAGACATTTTTGTATTGATTAAACTAAAAATAGATTGTTTACAAATTGTAGTATAAGAGATTAAATTGGTGTAAGCATCACAAAATAACCAATAGAAATGGCACTTAAATCCATCAAAGGTCTTTTACTATTTTTTAAATTAAATGAGTTGTTGCCTACTTTATTATGTATATAAAAGTAAAAGTCAGTAATACTCTACTCTAATACTACTAATACTTGTACTAAGGTAATACCTGTAAATAATGAAAAAACAAAACCACTTTAAAATCTTAAGGACAATAACATAAACCAGTTTTTATGTCACGAAACAAAATTTTCAAGTACAGTATAAATAAAAGTTTTTCAGAAAACAAAAAGTTAGCCAAATGTGACCGAATAAAGTGGAAAATTTGCTTTTTCTCGGAAACTACAAACATTTTTGTAGCGGATATCAGCATTATATGTCTCACAAATCTTGCACTTAAGATATATAATAATGTGAACAGTCGGTGGACATACACTATATATTGAAAACAAACTTTTATTTTCTTATTTTTGTTAAAAATTTTTTAGTTTTTGGATTTAGATTTTATATATTTTGTGTCAAAACATGTATCCATTATTCATCACGTGTTGTTTACTTTGCGTAATCCTAGGCTTATCTGAGGCCCAGTTTTACAACCGATACTCAGAGGGAGGAATACCCTCCTATGGGTCCAGGAGGTATGCCCCCAAAACTGTGGGCCAACTGTTTAGTGGACCCCCGCAAAGGCGCCAGGAATACGACATATACAGGAGTGCACCGCCGATGCCACTGCCACCGACTATACTACCCGTGGGAAAGGTATCTAATTATTACTACAAACACCACAAGCCGTTGGATGACAGGATAGATCACGAGGAGGCCGAGGACTGGCGTAATGAGGGTCCACTCAATTACCAAGAATATGATGAATATTCCTCATCCGACGATAAAAAGGGAAAGCCTTACGAATCGCTGCACTCGGATAGTGGTTACGATAAGTCCAATGATGAACACCATTATAAGGATTACAAAGCGGGAGGTATGCATATAGACACCTACTTTATGACATAGAGATTATGCTCAAAGAATTATGTATATATTTTATTGTATACTTGCTTATTAGTGTAGTTTAACTTTACTAGAAAGATATTTAAAATGTTTTAAGATAATAGGATTATTTTAATCGTATCATTAAATTTTATTTTTACTACAAGCTATAGGTTTAAATTATAAAGGTATTGTAGTTTTTATTAAAGAGGATAGAAATATATTTTTTCAAAGATATAATGCTTTTAAGGTTTTCGTAATGAAAGGAAATTACATTTATTTTATCATAAATATAGATAAGAAAATATGTTTAAATTTTGCATAAAATTAATTATTATCAGATTGCTTTGACATTTTTTGTCTAACTATTTAGTGGGTTATAGATAGGCTAAATTACTTTCAATATGTTTTGTTTTCATTATCAAATAAAGCACTTATAAAAAATGAAAATTATTTTGAACTTAAAAACTTTAACATAGCATACTATCTAAACCTACTGTATGGCTAATAAATATTAAACATTTATAATTACTAACTATAAATTTAATTAAAAATACATAACATTAAGAAATATAATTAATGTTTCAAAAAGGGGGCAAAAAATTTGCAAAACTGGACAAACATTCGGATAGTGGGCACAAGTCTGCCGAGGTATCCAAACTGGCCGGTGCTAAGGACAAACAGATTGAGGGTCGTAAGGAACTGGAGCACGAGAGCTACAAAAACAACGGCGAATATTCACATGATAGGGGACATGGATTCATAAAGTCGTGGTCGTGGGACAGGGCTCACGCTAAGAACGACGCCGCCGGACAGCTTACCAAAAAGCTGGCCGAACACTCCCTGTCCGATAAGGCCGGGTATGTGGCCGTTAAGGCGAAGGGCGAGGAGGGCCACGACGAGAAGGGCGTGAGTGCGGTGGCCGGTGCGGCCGGGTATGGCAAGGAGGGCAAGGAGGAGAGCAGTAGTAAGTCTGAAAGTAGCGGTAAATCCGATTTTGATAAGGAGTTTCCTATTTTTGGCTAACTATGTCCTCAAACAGTAGACTTCCGTTTAATATAACTAGTAATTTATATATTGTATTCAGATATTCATACCTCGGATATTAGACTTGCATTCAGTTTTGTACATAATTTACGCTCAAATACTTGTTGTTATACTGTATGATGTTAAGGAAGCATAATGTTTAATATACTTGTATACACTTTATATATTATGATTAAATTATTTATAATAACAAGCATAGACTGTATTACGAGGTATCTGTGCAACTCATTTCCTTACAACGTTTGATAAAATATTAATAATGTGTATAAATATTGTCCTATTATTAAATAGTAAACTATCGGAATTACAGGTATTTATACTAGTAATGAATTGTGTTATTATTTGTATGTTTCAAAGTCACACAAAATTATAATGAGTTTCCGTTTGATATGTAAAGTCAATCATAAATGCAACGAAACGACAATTTCGTTTTCAAAATGAAATTGTCTATAATTATTGTAATTTCAATTTATAAATATAAATTCATTTTACAGACATTTAAATCCATAAATAGTTCATAAAAATTGCATTTTAATTCTTAAGAGATTTTACATTTACTGTAAATTTTATTTAAAATATTTTTAAGTCACTCATCAATTTTTATTTTTAAAATAAAGTGTAAATTAAAAAATAAAACAATTTAATCATAATTTTTATTTTTATATGCAAATAATGTTGAAACACCCGAAAGGATTGAATAATAAAATAATTTAAACTGAATTACATTGCGCTGGTTTTTGGCCCTATATTTAAAATTTTAAAATTATTAAAAATAAACTTTACATTATATTGTCATATACAAACCTCATAAGTATCGCAGACTAGCTTGAGCAAATTACCCTGAGCCTGCTCCTGCAAGGCATCATTATGAACACCATTGATGGCAATCCATGGGACGTAAGTAGGCTTAGGACTGGTAGTGGAGTGTCTCTCGCCGTGCAATAGTAACAAACCTCTACCTAAGGGTCCGGTCGCGCAGTCGTTAATTGCCGTCCAATTGTGTTTCAATTGCTCCGAACACTAGTTTATTAAATATTTATATATATTTAGTAAAATATTTTAGTTTTACAAAAGTTCATCAAGGTGTAAATACCGTTTTGCCAGCACTGGCAGGTGTTTTCCAATCGGGTGCCTGGAATATACACCCGTCAAAAGCCAGTGTCTTATCAATTGGATCGGTGGACAGCACGCAGTCCTAATGAATAGGGATTTGCATATAAATTGAAAAATTTGAATATTAATCACACTCCTACATTTTCTATTGTGTTACTTTCATTTACATTCATAAAATAATTAATTAACACAAATGTGTTAATAATTACTTTGTTGGGTTTTTATAAGAAATGTATGTATTTTACAAGTAAATTTACTGACTGTAATATAAATAAATAGTCAATTGTAATTTACATTTCCCAATAGTTTTAAAATGTTAGAAAGTATCATATAATTACTATTTTAATACTATTGTATTAAAATGATTTTTTATTTATTCAATCAAAATTAACTAAAACTAAATAGCTTAAATTTCTCATTTATTTGTTTCATGCTTTTGTGCTATAAATAGTCTGACTGTCGATACTATATTATATAATAGACTCAATACAGTATGATCATTAAAGTAAACTAAGCACTTACAAAACTACTGATTCATATAACTTAATAAAATCAAAAGAATTTCCAGATTCTTTGAATCATTAGTCCAATGCAAACAAATGAATACAAATAAGTATTCCTACATTATTCAAGAAACTACTAATGACCACCAATTTTATTTTTTATGCTTTGTTCATTATGAAATAAATTAGTCGTAAGTATTTAGTAATTGGTAAAAGCAAATAGTGATAGTAAATAAGCTTGCTCACATGAATCCTGTTGCCGATGCACTCCTGTTCCCCGTGCTGGCACGTGAACTCCACGTCAAACGTGCCGTCAGGTCTATCCACTCTCTTCCACTTGGCGTTCCCTAAGGGACTCAGATCTACATCTATTATGGCCGACACCTT